GCTCCAAGCCCCATCCAACCTGCCCTTCAACACCCCCAGGGATGGGGCAGCCACAGCTTCCCTGGGCAACCTGGGCCAGGCTCTCCCCACCCTCACAGCCCACAATTGCTCCCTCCCATCTCAGCTCCAGCTCCCTCTGCCAACTGGAAACCCTTCCCCCTGCTCCCATCCCTCCCTGCCTTTGTCCCAAGTCCCTCCCCAGCTTTCCTGGAGCCCCTTCAGGCACTGGAAGCTGCTCTCAGGTCTCCCTGGAGCCTTCTCTTCTCCAGGCTCAACACCTCAACTCTCCCAGCCTGTCTCCAGAGCAGAGCTGCTCCAGCCCTCCCAGCATCTCCGGGGCCTCCTCTGGCCTCTCTCCAACAGCTCCATGTCCTTCCTGTGCTGAGGGCTCCAGAGCTGGACACAGAATTCCTGGCAGGGTCTCAGCAGAGCAGAGGGGCAGAATCCCCCTCCCTGGCCCTGCTGGCCACATTTCTCTTGGTGCAGCCCAGGACACAACTGCCCCCCTGGGCTCCAGCACACACTGGTGGCTCATGTCCAGCTTCTCTTCTCCTCCCACCCCCAGGTCCTTCTCCTCAGGGCTGCTCTCCAGCCCTTCTCCCCCCAGCCTGGATTTGTGCCTGGGGTTGCACCAACCCAGGTGCAGGAGTATGAGTGTAATAATAAATAATATAATTGTATAGATAGATATGTAAAATGAATAAGAGTGTAAACCCAGTAAGAAGAAAAAAGAATGTAGACACTCTTCAACACCAGCTAGTACTACAACCTGAAGATCAAACACCAAGTATTGAGACAGTAGATTTACTTATGGCAGGTGCCACAGTGTGGTAGGAACCTTCCAAATGGGATGCAAAGTCCTGCTCTGGTAAATCCAACCATGAACTGTTGAAAAGTGCCTACATGGTAACATGGTACATACCTCAAGGTGTTCCAGGGATTCCAGAAACTGTAACTTCTCCACCTCCTCCTCATCTCTTGTCTTGATTCGGAGAACCTGGTGCCTGCAGTGAATCAAGTCTTCAGAAACAGTCTCAAAAAGGGGTTTGGTTGAACAAGCTTGTTCTGAAGATCATCAGTTTGGTGGGTAGTTACTTGTGTGCTACCAGCCCATCTGGACTTGTTTAATGCAGTTGACTTGGTGTCACCCAGAGTTCAACCACCAACCTGCAGAGCCAGGCCCACCACACAGGGACTGGATTCATAAATGGTTAAACAGCAATTTTTTAAGGTTTCACAATAAACATCAAGTGGATGAGTTTTTGGTTGTTTACAAGGATCAGTCTCCCATCTATTCATTACTTTTTGCCAACAACTTGCAGAAAGCAAAATTCTGGTCAAGTTTGCCAAAGTCAAAATGTTTGGGGAGAATTATCCAAGAGATCAAACCTCTAAACACTGGGTTTGCTTCACCTCTCCTCAGTTTTGGAAAGACATCTGACAAACTGCCTTGTGTTGTCAGGAGCTGATAACATCAGAGGGTAGTCTGTACCATTCCAGGGGAATGAATCACTTCTGGAGGTACCTCACTCCACTGGTTAGAGAGGTTGGATGGAGCTTGGGAGCCTGGTCTACTGGGAGGTGTCCCTGCCCATGGCAGGGGGTTGGATCTAGATGATCTTTCAGGTCCCTTCCAACCCAAACCATTCCATGATTCTATGATAACAGATACTTTCTCAGATGTAGAGAGCAAGCATTAGATTTCAGTGAGTAAATCTTGATATTAAGATGTAAAGATTAAGAGATAATGTCCATCACTTACTAAAACCCTAGGATTTGTAAGGCCTATTGACATAATTCAATCTGGACTCTTCCCCATCCAACCTGCCCTTCAACACTGCCAGGGATGGGGCAGCCACAGCTTCTCTGGGCAACCTGGGCCAGGGTCTCACCACCCTCACAGTGCAGAATTTCCTCCTAAAGTCTGACCTAAATCTGCCCCTCTTCCAGTTTTGATCCATTCCCTCTTGTCATCTCACTAAAAGCCCTTGTCAAAAGTCCCTGCCCAGCTTTCCTGTAGGCCCCCTTCTCTATTTAATCATCTACTGAGGTTCTTCCACAGGAACACCATGAGGAAATACACCAGGAGGTAATTTCCCAATGCAACATCCAGATAATGGTTGGAAATAAGGATTCAAATTGTGTAGAAAGGCCCTGGAGAGGATTAAACATTCAAAGAGAAATAAGGAACTTCCAAAGCAAAGGGAAGCCAGTGACCTTTCCCATCCTAGGCCAGGTTCTGGTCTTTCAGCTCTGCTTTGTGTTGGACAAGATCTGTGAAGCTGAAGGCTCAAGTTTTGCAGAGAGGTTCAGCTCCAGATCAAGGCTCCAAACTGCTCCCTAAATACAGTGAAAGCCAAAACAAAACCTTGGGTGAACATGAATTTAGAAGCTCAACTCTGCAGCTGGAGTTTCTCCTTAGAAAACCTAAATGAGTGTAGAGTGTAGTCCCTGCAAATACCAAAGCCAGAAGACAAGCCAGTCATAAAAAGCAAAGAATTTGCCCCAAGCAGATTTTCTAAAGACCATGGAGAAGCAAAAACAAAGCTGGAAGTGAAGTCTTCCATAAAAACCACAACTCACCCAACAAAAGTTTCCAGGCAGAAGGAAACCCCCAGGAGGGCACTGAAGATCAAAACCAGCTTCATGTTTGATGTGAGGCTCAACTCACGCCTGGTGGAGGTGAATTTATACAGGGCTTGTCAAGAAATCCTTATTTTTCTATTTATTTTTCAGATAAATCCTATCTGCACCCCATGTGACAACGTTCTCACATTTATCAGAGCTCTCAAGGCAACCAGGAGATAAGAGGTCAACTTCACCTCCAAAAATAAGATTTTCCACTGACACATTCAAACCTCCAAGGAGGGAGTTGTTTTCCAAGCATTTGCCCACCAGGCTCCTCCATGTCCTTTCACACATTTTTCCAGGCAGAGGAAAAGAGTCAAACTGAATGTCCTCCCAGATCCCACTGGGACTGAGGAGCTCCACCAGTTCACTCTTGGTCATGGGGTTTTTCTCCTACTATAGGAGCCCACCCCTCCTTACAAAGAGGCAGCCAGCAGAAAGATCTCACTCCAGCAAAAATACTCAATTTGAGGGATTATTTCTTCAAAATCATTTCACTCTGGTGAAATAACTGGGTGAAATAATCACTCTGGTGACACCACATAGGCCCTGGGGCTTGTCTGCTTGGCAACAAGCCCTGTCTGATAGAACAGGCCAGGGTCATGCTATCAATTCAGTCCTATCTACAAGCTCCACAAGTCTAGATATAAGACAGTTAAAAAATATATTTTAATTGAAATTATTAACATTCCTCCCATTATTTTGCTGGGTTAGTTTCCTATAGATCCATCTGGCTGGTGCTTCAAGCAAATGAAGGTTGGAGCAGGATCCACAGGACAGCAGGTTGTGCAGTACAAGGAGAAATAAAACGTTGGGTGAACAGGAACTTAGAGCAGCTCAGTTCTGGAGTCAGACTCTTTTCCTTGGACAACCTTGCAATAAATCATTTTCTAATCAAGTTGCCTTCTCAGGAAGAGGTGACACAGGTTTGAAGTGCTGGAACAGCCACTGCTGGGTCATAGAATCATTGCCTGGTTTGGGTTGGAAGGGACCTTAAAGATCATCTAGATCCAACCCCCTGCATGGGCAGGGACACGTCCCACCAGCCCAGGCTGCTCCAAGCCCCATCCAACCTGCCCTTCAACACTGCCAGGGATGGGGCAGCCACAGCTTCACTGGGCAACCTGGGCCAGGGTCTCACCATCATCATGGTGAAGAATTCCCTCCTGATGTCCAACCTAAATCTCCCCTCTTCCAGTTTAAAGCCATTCCCCCTCATCCTGCTCCCAGCTTCATCATGCCTGCAGGGCTGCCCCTGATCCAGCAGCTCTCCAGGCCCTTCTGCTCTTGAGCTGAACTCTATGTTTTAATTTGTGGGGAAGAGCCTCCATCCTCTTCACTTTCCATAAGGGTGTCCACAAATTTCATAGAATCACAGGGGTTGGAAGGGACCTCTGAAGATCATCAAGTCCAATCCCCCTGCCAGAGTAGAATCACCCAGGACAGATCACACAGGAACGTGTCCAGATGGGTCTGGAAAGTCTCCAGAGAAAGAGACTCCACAGCCTCTCTGGGCAGCCTGTCCCAGGGCTCTGTCACCCTCACAGGAAAGAAGTTTCTCCTCACGTTGAGGTGAAATTTCCTGTGTTGTCACTTGGTGCTGCTTCCCCTCATCCTATCACAGGGCACCACAGAACAGACTGGCCCATTCTTGCCACCCACCCTTCAGATAATTGTAGACATTAATAAGGTTCCCTCTCAGTCTTCCCAAGACTGAGCAGCCCCAGGTGTGTTCTGTTGTTATTCCCATTGGAGCAGTAACGGTGACGGGTGCTCTCCTGGCTGAGCTTTGGGGACCATCTTGATGACCTTTGGTCATGGGAACACCCAGCTGTGGTTGTCCCAGAATGAACAGGTAGAGCCAGAGGGCTGTTGGATACACCTTTTGTTTGTCCCATTAATAATCTCACCAAGGAAAAGCCAGGTGCTGACCCTGCTGTGATACCTGGGTTCCTGGGAACCACCATGGGACACAAGGGAGATGGTTCAGTGACCAGAATCAGCCCCAGGGGCCTGAGGAAAGGAAACCTCTGACAATCCCAGAGGATCTCACCACCCTGAGGAGTATCCCTCCATCTCCAACCCCACCCTACCCTGTTCTATAGTGGTGCCAGTGGCTTCTTCTCATGGGTTCACAGCAAGACTCCAAGGAAGTTCTGGTGCCCTCAGCACAAGAAAGATACAGACCTGTTGGAGAGGTCCAGAGAAGGGCCACCAAGATGATCCAAGGGCTGGAGCAGCTCTGCTCTGGAGACAGGCTGGGAGAGTTGGGGGGTTGAGCCTGGAGAAGAGAAGGCTCCAGGGAAACCTTAAGGCATCTTCCAGTGCCTGAAGGGGCTCCAGGAAAGCTGGGGAGGGGCTTTTCATCAGAGAAGATGGTGATAATACAAGGAGTGATGGTTTTAAACTGAGAGAGGGGAGATTTAGGTGAGATATGAGGAAGAAATTCTTCACTCTAAGGGTGGTGAGAAACTGGGATGGGTTGCCCAGGGAGGTTGTTGATGCCCCGTCCCTGGAGGATTTTAAGGCCAGGTTGGATGAGGTTTTGTGCAGCCTGGTCTGGTGGTTCCCCTGCTCATGGCAGGGGGGGTGGGACTTGGTGATCTTTAAGGTCCCTGCCAACCTTCATGATTCTCTGATTCTAGGAAATCTTTTCCAAGGCCTCATGTTTTTGGGAACCCAGGGAGCCTCAGGCAGGGATTCTGCCTGTTCTGACATACAGGAATTAAGTCACCCTGCAACTGTTGCATCTTGGGGGCAAACTGTGGAGAACAGAGCTCTGCAGGGAGATGTAAGGTCTGTTCCTGCAAGTCCCCAGCTCTTGGAGGTTCAACCTCAGGGGCCTGTTGTTCAGCAGTGCCTGTTGCAACAGCACAAGGGGTAATGGCTTTAAAGTACAAGAGGGGAGATTTAGACTAGATATAAGTAAGACATTTTTTACACTGAGGGTGGTGAGACCCTGGCCCAGGTTGGCCAGAGAGGTGGTAGATGCCCCATCCCTAGAAACACTCAAGGTCAGGTTGGATGAGGCTTGGAACAACCTGATCTGGTTGAAGATGTCCCTGCTCCCTGCAGAGGAGTTGGACTAGATGACCTTGAAAGGTCCCTTCCCACCCAAATCCTTCTATGATTCTCTGATTCCAGCCTAACCCAGTCTTCGGGACACAAGCAGATCTCAATTCCCCCCACCAAAAATCAGGTAAGAGACAGGAACCAACAAGGAATTTCCTGCCTCCAGCACTACAGCAATTCTGGTGAAAACCAAATCCCAACCAGTCTGTAGCTGATGGCCTTCAACATTTCATAGAGATCCAACAGACTGTCCACACCACCTCCTGTGGATTCACTCTTTGAAAACAGGAAGGAGAGACTTAACTGAGGGCAGGGTTATAGTTTACTTCATTACTCATGGATTTAAAGGCTGCCAAGACATCCTGCCAAACATGATGTCAGGATCCATAATAAGCCAACAAGCTCCAAGGGTCCTGACCAGCCTCATCCAGGACCTTGCATTTAAGGAGCTGCATTGAAGCCCAAACCTTTGTGCCCACTCCTAATCCCCCCTTGAAGAGGCTCCAGAAGTCTGCAGGACTGTGACCTCCCACCCTAGCCACAAGGTCCAGCAGGGCTTGGAAGTCAGGCTTGAACCACAGAGCAACCTCTCGGTGAAGTTCTGCTCAGGATGAAAGTCAAACTCTCTAGTGCTCAGCTCAGGGCTCAAAAACACCAGAGCCAGTTGGGGAGCTGCAAAAACAGGGGTGCACCACAACAGCAGCCAGAAGCCAAAAGGTGACAGCAAAGCAGGTGGGGTAGAGAGCTCACCAACAAGAGCAGGTCTGGTGGCACTGACCAGGAACAACCACAGTCCAGATCCTCAGGTAAGTCCACAGTCACACAGCAGGTCCAGGAGGTCAAGACCTACAAACCCAAGTCCACCATGCACCTACTGCAGCTCAAACAAGGGCCAAACCACGTGGCCTCAGCTTAAATGCAGCTCCCTTGGCAAGGGGTGGGAGGGTGTGTGGGTAGGGACCCTATAGGAGGACAATTAGTGCTCTCAGGGCCCTGGCACACTAATTTGGGCAGGGTGGGACATGTTCTCTGCACGGTCCCAAGAGGATGTGGTATCATGCAGTGAATCACCAACCTCCTTGTGACATGTGAAGAAGTGAAAGATTAAATTAATCTCATCTACCCAGAGTTTGGTTTGTTGCTCACTGTCACCAAACCAACACGTGGACACTTGGCCTGAGGGACAGAATGGATGTGACTCCCCCAGCCAACAGGAAAGGCCTCAAAAGGCATCAAATGTAGGTGGAGTTACTCCTTTTCTGTGAAGTAGAATCTCAGACTGGTTTGGGTTGGAAGGGACCTTCAAGATCATCCAATTCCAACCCCCCTGCATGAGCAGGGACACCTCCCACCAGCCCAGGCTGCTCCAAGCCCCATCCAACCTGCCCTTCAACACTGCCAGGGATGGGGCAGCCACAGCTTCCCTGGCCAACCTGGGCCAGGCTCTCCCCACCCTCACAGCCCAGAATTGCTCCCTCACATCTCAGCTCCAGCTCCCTCTGCCAGCTGGGAACCCTTCCCCCTGCTCCCATCCCTCCCTGCCCTTGTCCCAAGCCCCTCCCCAGCTTTCCTCTTCTCCAGGCTCAACACCCCAACTATCCCAGCCTGTCTCCAGAGCAGAGCTGCTCCAGCCCTCCCAGCATCTCTGGGGCCTCCTCTGGACTCAAAGATGATCAGAGAAAGCCCAGACCTCTGCTGTTGTCCCTGTCTAAAAAAAGGTTCTTGCAGCCAAGATACAGCTTAGTAATCTCTGCTATCACATGGGAAGGGTCACCTGAGCCCACAACTTGTGGAGCCCTCATCTGTCATCTTCTCAAAGGAAGTGTTTGGCAATTCAGTAGGAAAGGGAAGATGACCCACGTTGGACTGAACTTCCCTTGTCCCCCTGACCTCTCTGCTTCAGTTCTGCTTCACCTCCTGCTCTGTCACCAGGTCCCAGGCATTTTCT